AACCATTATACCCTGATTTCCCATTTTCAATGGGTTCAGGGTATAAAAAAAAACTAACTTACTAAAAAGCAAGTACATAGTACTTGATGACAAATATATAAAATATAAATTTATAATACAAAATATAAATTTTGTTTTTAATATACAGGAATAATTCAGATCGCTGACTAAAAGCGCATTTCAACTAGGCAACTCCTTTAACACTGTAGACAGATGATATTCCAATTATTGGACGCGCCACTTATAAAAGACAAAAATATCCAAACAATACATGAATAAATATGCGTGTGAAGCTAAACATAAACGTAACCTTACGGTAAACTTATTGAAAATGAGACATCAGACTTTTTGTCACGTCGAATGGGATAATTCATTAGAACCGAATTCCCAGGATATATTTAAATTAAATGGTCAATTAATGAATTACCTTGTTAAGATCCTTTATAAATTCAATAATTGTGTCTTTCTCAGATACTCGTTGAGCATATGATAAGGTACTTGGTAAAACATGATCTATTAAATCTGGCAAGAGATTTGGTATTCCTTGTCGTAAACGATTGGGAGGTGCCTTGGGGCTCATCCAACGAACTTTATTCTACAAATAACAGTGTAGAATTATTAATATGTTTCGTTTAAATAAAATTAAATAAATAGTATTTGCTACTTTATATTTCTAACCTAGTTTAATGGGATTTACATTTAATTGCTGTGGGAACTTGTTGAAACGAATTGAAAAATGAATTAAAGAATGAAAAGTACTTTTTGATATACATACCTCTAATATAATTGATGAAGTACTTGGTCCGCTTATGATAAGAAGAACATGGGGTCTTCTTCCATAGCTTAGATCATAATATATGTCAACAAGTGGACTGGGACCAAGTTCATAGATTTTAGCTACGAGCGGTGCTATTGTCGAAGGACCAAGGACTCCAACTGTTAAGTAACCTCCTAATTGCTCAAAAATACTGTGTATAGCACTCGAATTTGCTGTCAATTTAAGGCAGCTCTCATATAGGATTTTAAGTTTTTTGAAACTTTCACTTAAAGTCGAATTGCTCAGAAGCACTACAAAATATTTATGAGAATATAAATATATAATAATATATAAATGTAATACATAAATGTTCAACTTACTTTGCATTTGAATATCGACTGCTTTTTGTGAGTTTCCCATTTCAATTATATTCGTTACATTTTTATTGAACTTTCTACGCCAGCAACTAAATTTCTTAAATTCTGAACAAGGATCTTTATTCCAATTAAGTCTCGCTTGAATGTTCGAAGAAACAGTTTCGCAAATATCTTCCGTGCATTCCGAAGTAGATGCAACTGTTGGCGAACATCCGTCACCCTCCATATAGCAATCCCTTGGAAGTGGAGAGGGAGCTGTACTAATTAAAAATAATATTGGCGATGCGACCAATAAAGTTGTAACTAATAAAGTTGCCGACGTAATAGCCACTTTGTGCACTGCAGCAGATGTGCGCAGCCATATACAAGGGGCACAGCAAATCCAGCCAATTATATTGTTCTAAAAATTGACTTTTTCATCATTAAGAATAGACGTAATAGAACAGATGCAGACGCTATACCTTATTATATTGTCCTGCCAAGTTGTCTAAATTAGAGTTGTCAATAATTTCAACCTCGTCAGTTTTACCAAATTGATTCGAACAAATTGGGGTTTTAAATGACAATTGTTTTTGGAGAAGCGATGCGCTGCTTCCCCCCGAGGGATTCGCAGAAGTAATTACATTACGAGCATTAGTACTTAGACTACTTACGCCCGATTTTCGAAAAGTGTTACGCGAGTTAAACTCAGCTGTCATCGTGTGTTTTTCTTTTTGTGCTATGGGATATAAAAATAATTATAAAATTTGACAGAATTGAGTTGTACAAATACATATAATTAATTAATATGCATATATACAAAAAAAAAAAAAAAAAAAAAGAAATATGTACATATTCACGTATAGAATTCAATTTATATATATTTTTTTATCCATATATAATGTGTACTTTTAATAATATCATAGTATGGGGAAATAGTCCAAAGCTTTTGCGATGAAAAGCCAATTTATATTCAATTTACTTGTGTTTTAGTTTTCAATCAGATCTTTTATTATAATAATATGGCATTCTCTAGAAAACAGCAAATGAAGTTGAATAATAGCTGAGAATACTTTGAGTCTATAGTATAAATACTATATTTAATATATATGAATATAGTATTAATAAATATATCATAAAAAGTCTTTAAGTGTCAGTAGCTTATGCTAATATTTTCAAATGTCACAGGAAATAAATACAACTTGCATCGTTCACAATTGAACATTTTATTCATAGCTACATTGCACTCTCACATATTTGCATTTGAGTACCTTTTGATGGACTAGTACAATTTATTAAAAACCGCCAGTATTAGTTTCTTGATTGACATTAACTACATAATAAAATAAAATGAAAAAAGCCGCAAAGTCAAATCGGTTTATGTTGGCTTTAAAGTGTTTCGTTATTAGTACCGTTAGAAATAAATGAAAAAACCTCCCGGAAAAAAAAGCTTACCACCACAAAGTAGACAGTACTGAATTACAAAAATATGTCCTTCCCATGTTTTGTACGTTATTGATTTTTCCAATGAATGATAAAGAAACATATCTCGACTACGAGATATCCTGCATCCGCCAGCTGGTACTCTAATCATTCTGCACTTCTTCTATGCAAACTTACATACACATAACCACACGCACTCGTAAGCCCGTGCTCTGCTAACCGCGCAGTAGCAGCGACTGCACTTGGGCTGCGCTGCAGTGTGGGCAATATTATGAGAATTTATTAGTTGTTTAATTTCTCTTATAGTTGGACTATCTTAATGAAACTTTCAGAGCGTGATCATAAGGTTAGAATGTGTGTACCTTCCAAAGCACAAGTATCTAGTGCTTTTAATTAAGGGTGAAGGGGCCTGGTATCCAAAATCTGTAAATTACAAAATCGTAGTATTCATCATATGCAGTAAATTTTAAGTCTCCTGCTCTAAAAGTGTTTAAATTAGGCTGAAAAAAAACTATTAATTTATGATATGAATTATCGATAAGCCCTCGTACTGCGTATGGTATACATGAGTAAGTATGCAAAATTTCAGCTTTCTAGATCTTATATCTTCTGAGATCTCGGCGTCCATACGGACAGACGGACGGACGGACTGACAGACGGACGGACAGAAAGACGGACATGGCTATATCGACTTAGCTCGTGGCCCTGATCAAGAATATATATATATTTTTAAGGGGTCTGCGATGCGTTCTTCTGCGTGTTACATATTTTCTCAACAAAACATTATACCCTGATTTACCATTTTCAATGGGTTCCGGGTATAATCAACATTGTATTGGATTGTAGGCGACTGCGCATTACAAAGGTGGTAGATATATCATTTGTATACCCTGAACCCATTGAAAATGTGCGACGAGCTGAGTCGATTTTGCCTGTCCGTAGGTCAGTCCGTCTGTCTGTATATTTGAAAGCGTCGATTTCAGAAGATATAGGAGCTAGAGATTTCAAATTTTTTTAAAATGTCCGTATATATAGCGCGCATGTCGAGCTTATCACTAAAAATCGATAATCGTCACGTTATTTTGTTATCGATAAAAAACCTTATCGAAAATCAGTGGGGGTGTGTGTGTTTTTTTAATTTTTTATATTCGTTTATTAACAACTATACTTATATAATACAATATGTATTTTGGCGGCTAAGTGTAGCGCACAATGCTTGCGGGACGGCCGTAAAGCATTGCTTCGCAAGCACTTTACACTCCCTTAGCCTGGGACAGCTCGCCATCGCTCGATTCTGCGAAGCTACATCATTATTGTGCCCACGAAGGTGCTTAAAAGTTTCCAAGCAGTCTCCGATTCCAGCATTACATTGACCATGTTGTCCGCTCTAATGCAGCGGCCCACTGCTTTTTCCAGACAGCACCTCTCCAATGGGATGCGTCCGAATAAGACGTGGTTGGCGGCCTTTACCAGACCTTGTCCGCACCAAGAGCATTCGTCGGTTTCATCGTGGCCAAAGCGCTTCAA